AAATATTACCTTTGACATTACTTCGTATGTTTTCATACACAATTACAAACATAAGATCGGCCGCGCCAGATTTGTGTGTGTAAGAACAAAATTAAAGGTGAAAGACTTACCTAAGAATGGCGTCTGTTTACCATTTAATATTTTCTTTTTTAAATGTTTTCCATTACAATAATTACGTCTTAGAAGCTGTTCACTTCACCTGATCGGAATGTTTCAGATCTGAATTTTATAAGTTCTGATCTGATCTGATCTGAATTTTTCTGATCCGATCTGATTTGATCTAAATCTTTCTTATCTGATCTGATCTGAATCTTTCTGATCTGATTTGAATCTTTCTGATCTGGTCTAATCTAATCTGAATCTTTCTGATCTGATTGAATCCTTCTGATCTGATCTGAATCTTTCTGATCTGGTCTGATTTGAATATTTCTAAAATTATAATTATAATTACATTTATAGTTTTAATTATATTTTTAATTATAAATATAATTTAAATATAATTATAATTCTAATCATATTTATTAAAAAATTATAATTATTATCATAATTATAATTATAATTATAATAGGTATAATTATTATTATTATTGTAGGTATAATTATAATATCATTTAATTATATTTTTAATTACAATTATTTATAAAATTATAATTGTAATTATAATTATTATTTTTACATATAAGTATAAATAATAATTATATTTACACTAATATAATTATAGCTAATTAGAATTGTAATTATATTTTTAATTATAATTATTTCTATAATTGTAATTGTAACTATAATTATTATTTTTATTTCTATAATTATAATTATAATTACTCTGTATAACAACAACAAAATAATAATAATAATAATAATAATAATAATAATAATAATAATAACAACAACAACAACAACAATCATGATAACAATAATAAAAATAACAATAACAATAACAATAACAATAATTTTTTATTATTATAATAGTAATGATAATAAACATAATAACGGTAATAATGGTAATAATAATAAAAATTATTTTTACTATTATTATTATTATTATCATCATCATTATCATTATTATTATAATTATTATAATAATTATTATTATTACTATAATAAGCAATAATAATAATTATTATTACTATTATTATTATCATAATAATAAAAAAAGATAAATTATGTTTGAAATTTTTTGATCTGAATGTTTCTGATCTAATCTGAATGTTTCTGATCTGGTCTAATCGGATCTAAATATTTCTGATCTGATCTGAATGCTTCTGATCTGATCTTAATCTTTCTGATCTGATATGAATTTTTCTGATCTGATCTGAATAAAATAAGAATAAGCAATAAGTAATAAGACGAACAGAACAGCTTCTTAATGCAAACTTGCATTTTTGGTTTCATAATTTAACATTTTTTTGTTTTTAATTGGATCGTATTTCTGATCCGGTCTAGTCGATGCAAGTTTATTCTAATCGGATCTGATCAGAATTCATATAGGCAAATCTAGTAGGATAAATGTTTGTTTTATGCATAATTTACATCTGTCGGAGCATGATTTCGTTAGATTTAGTATAGTTAATAATTAAAAAAATCCAATTAAAAACATTATTATAATTCTTAAAACAATAATAGCCAAAGAGAATGTCTTGTTGGAATGTCGACAACTCGACATGTTCCGGCATTGTTGTCCAAACAAATAAAAAAGAGTAAAATCATAACTAATCCCTAAACTATCAGTCCCATATCATTTTGGTCCCCAAACTAACAAATACGAAGTATATCATTTCAGTTCCTAATCTATGTAATCCATATTAGTTCGGTCCTTCTATCTATATTTTGACGTTAAACTAACGAAATATACTTAGTTAGTGCATGTATGTGTAAATCAAAATATAACTTATAAAAATCTGATTTAATATCTAAATAAATTAGAATGAAAACTACTATCAAATCATAATATAACGCGTTAAGACATACTATCGTAATATACTATATACGTTCTCTTTTAAATGCAACATTGGACTTTTTGCACTATTCATATGTTCTACTTTGACTCTATTTTATTTAATACGGAGTAATGTATTATAAAATAAATTATAAAAAAGTGTTAAATTCCTCTCATTATCAAATTTCAAAATCTATTTTTTTTTTTTATTTTTTTTACTAATATTTGTATAGTTCTCAAAATTTGTCAACATACAAGTTTCACGTTTGCCAACACACAACTTTGACCATTAATATCTTTAATTCCTTCTTAATAAAAAAATTAAAGAAAAATTGGAAAATTTAAAATGAGAGGAATTTAACATTTTTTTAAATTTAATTTATAATACATTACTCCGTATCAAATAAAATAGAGTCAAAGTAGAACATATGAATAGTGCAAAAAGTCCAATGTTGCATTTAAAAAAGAACGAAGGTATTATATTATGTTATAACTTTATACGTACCACGCGTTGTATTATGATTTGATAATAGTTTTCATTCTAATTTATTTAGATATTAAATCAGAATTTTATAAGTTATATTTGTCTTATAAGTATGTTGATTTACATGCACTAACTAAGCACATTCCGTTAGTTTAACGTCAAAATATGGACAGAAGGACCGAATTAATATGAATTACATAGTTTAGGGACTAAAATGATAGATTCGTTAGTTCAGGGACCAAAATGATATGATGCCGATAGTTTAGGGACTAGTTGTGCATTTTACTCAATAAAAAATTAAAAAGTTACAAGGTCTCAAGATATTTAATAATGCAATAATCGATTGTACATATCGCCTTCGTGTCAATTAAAGTCTCGCATAGATTTTGTTAAATCATAGTGAATGGCATGTTATTTTGGGAAAAGGGACAAATAAGATCACGTACTAATAAAAAAAGGTCAAATAAGAACTTATTTAGGAGGCTCTATCCGGCCGTCGCCATTTAGGGTGGTTCCCGGTGGAATTTTTTGATGAAATTTTTTGAGCATCTTATTCATTAAGTCTAGTTTACGCATACCAAATTCCAGCTAAAACTTCAATCGGGAAGACATTCAAATGAATTCTTGAAGATAACTGCGAAGTTAAAAGCACAGTTATCTTCAAGAATTCGTTTGAACGTCTTCCCGATTGAATTGTTAGCTGAGATTTGGTATGAGTAAACTAGACTTAATGAATAAGATGCTCAAAAAATTTCATTAAAAAATTCCACCGGGAACCACCCCAAATGGCGACGGCTGGACAAAGCCTCCTAAATAAGGCCTTATTTGACCTTTTTTTTATTATTAGTGTGTTGCCTTATTTGCCCCTTTTCTCTATTATTTTCGTTGTACAAAAGTAGGCAATGGCATATAGCCACTATTTCCCCTCTCCCGCTAAGATGGTTTATCTTTCATGTTCAGTTCATCCTAAACTAAAATTGTCTCATATCAAATTTGATGAAATTTGTATGATTTTAAATCATTTCTTTTTTATTTTTACTTTATCAATTCAATATGAATCACATAAACTCACTTTCTTGATAATCGCGTCACATGCTCATGTTTCGATGTCAATGGAACAGAAATAGTATTTAATAAAATACTTTGTATAATGCAACCATTTTTTGTTTAATGCAAAGCATTATTTCACTAAACAAATTTTTATTTTTTATTTCGCATGAAATGTGAATTAATACAAATAAGTAAGAATAATTATAGTTATTGTTGCAATTGAATTGACGAATTGACTAATTTAATTTTCCATCTAATTTTTCTTCTTTTATTAAGAAAAAATTGTTTAAATACTTCCTCCATACTTGAATTTCTATTTAATTTTTTGCGATATTTTCCCCTTTGGTAAGTTTCTCATTTAAAAAATAGAACTATTCGTGCTATTCATTTTCTCTTTCTTAAGTTTAATATATAATCTCCTTCTATTTGTATACCTTTTTACATTATTCACTATTCAAATAGTTTCAATACTCTTATTCAAACAATTTTTTCATCAAATACGTAACGTTTTGGTTTCGCGCGTTAAATTCGGTAATAATAAGAAACAGTAAGTGGCTCAGCCCAACTGGTCAATGACTCACTCTCCCTTACGGGAGGGCTCGGGTTCGAAACTCAATGGAGTGAGTTTCAGCTCTAATTACTCCAGGACCCCCAAGCCCCCTCGATGCCCCTGGAGTAATAATAAATAAATAAAAAGAAACAGTAAGTGGCCAAAAAAAGTAATGTTTTGAGTTACTTTCCTTACAGTATAATTTTTTACATAAATCAACAAAATCAGTCAATTTAGTCACTTCGGCCAAAATTTCATAAGTTTCAGTAGAATCAATTGATTTTGATATTATCAAACCTAGTGCAAAAATCTAAAATCGCAAGAGTGAGATTTTTTATCAATTCCATAGATTCTACCAATTAAGGATGTTTTCTTTTGGACTAAAATTTGCTGGTCTGGTCTGGTCTGATCTGGTCTGGTCTGGTCTAGTCTGGTAAACGTCTAGTCTCTATGTATTTTATAACTATAGAAGTCTGGTCTGGTCTGGTCTGGTCTGGGACTGAAAACCATCCAAAAGAAAACATCCTCAATAGTGTCTGTCATATATAATTCTGCTTTTAAAAAAGTGCTTTTTTTAATGAAATGAGGAGAAGTGATTAAATAAAAGTTGATATTGTTTGAGAAAAAAGTGATTTTGAAAAGTAAAAGTGGGTAGTGTTTGATAAAATAAATGATTTTTGTGTAATAGAAAAAGTAAAAACACTTTTGATGCGGAAGCCGAGAAAAATAAAAGTTGTAGTGTTTGGGAAAATAAGTGCTTTTTTTAAAACCAAAAGTTGAGAAGCGTTTTTTTAAACGTAGTTGCAAACCAAAACTAAGTAAGTGTTAGCTGATTCTTCAAATTCCACTAATTTAAGTAGTTTCTACTTTGTGTTTCTAAACTGACTTTAAATTTAGACATTACTTTATTACGGAGTATATAAATTCCAAGATTTTCTACCCACTCTCACTCACCTTTTAATTTTCTTCCCCTTTCTCATTTATTTTCCTTGCATCTCTTCTACCCCACCCACTGGTGTTTCTAAATCCTTAATTAAACTGACCCAACTTTAAAATCAAATAACCAAAATCGAAATAATTGCCGTTTTTTTTTTCGATGAAGCAAAGGAGGATCATATCCTTGGAAAAGGAAATGCAGATAATCTACGGAGCACTGATGTTGCTGCCATTCTTTTGCTCTTTGGTTTCCCCAGATGCTCAAGGTATGCTCTGCTTCAGTTGGGCTGCTTTGCAGATCACACCAGACTAAAACATTATAAACCAAGATTATTAACTCTGTCTTTCCCAACATTAAATCAATCAGTTGTATTAATTTATTAATAAGGATAAAGTTCTTTACTTTAGGAGAGGCGTTGTTTTCATTGAAGGCCTCACTGAAGGCATCAAGCAGTCAGCTTATAGATTGGAATCCGACTCTAATTAATCCATGCACTTGGTCCAAAATTAATTGTGATGCTAGTAACAATGTCATTAGTGTGTAAGCGATCGACTTCATTCATGATAACTTGTTTTTTTATTCACCTGGCCAATTAAACACACAAATTCATGGTGTTTTGCAGGTCATTATCTAATATGGGGTTTTCCGGCACTTTATCTCCCAAAATTAAAGTTTTGAAGAAGCTCGCCACACTGTACGATCTCAGTGTCTTGCATAGATTGCTTAGTGTTACCTCTGCCCCTAAGATTGGGACTAGAGTAGGTGGTGCGCTTGTTAAGAAAAAGTAAAGTTATGTCGTTGAAATTAAATTGATAATCTGTGAATAAAGTAAAAATGAATTATATGTATGAAAAAGTATGGTGAGTATTATCAAAGTATTATCAAATATGGTATGACAAAGTATTATCAAATATGTATGAAAAAAATGTGACAAAACAAACTAGTGGGGCATGGTGAGTAGTAATAGTTGATTGAATTGTTCCGCATTCAACTTGCATCATACCATTTCCATAACTGCTACAATTGAAATTTATTAATGGCACTTTCGGTTAGAGTCCTGTGAGTAAAGTGAAAAATGGTGGATTAATTATAGCTCGAGCCGAATTAATTAATAGTTTTTCGTAGATTTTTTTAGTATGGTTTAGCCCATTAATTGAATGACTCCAACCTGATGCTGAATTTTCTATTCGAATTTATATATTCATGTAGATCGGTGCAAGGAAATAGGATAACTGGTAGGATTCCTGAAGAAGTTGGAAATCTGTCAAGCTTGACAATGTTGAACCTGGAAAATAACCAATTGTCTGGAGAAATACCACTTTCGCTCGGAAACCTCAAGATGCTCCAGTTCTTGTAAGTTTTCAAATGCATTCTTAGCTTGTTGTTTGTTGTATGAGCACTTAGCTTTATTTTCCAAATGTTCCCAAGCAGGTACTTGAATCGGAACAATCTCACCGGGACAATCCCTCAGTCTCTTTCAACTCTTCCAAGCTTAACTAACTTGTGAGTCATGACTCATAATCTCAGCTTGTTGGACCATAGCCACGTTAATCATTTGCTGCATTTTGTATTATTTTTTATGACCTTGGTGCTACTTTATGTACTTATGAACCTACTATAATGAGAGCAGGTCATTGCTTAACCTTACGGGTATGTTCTTAATCGCAGGCAGCTCGGTTCAAATCGTCTAATTGGCCAAATTCCTAAAAGTTTATTTGGAGTCTCCCAATACAAGTACACTAATTGCTTATGTTTTCTAAAATAGTTAAATAATCAAGTATGATTCTCAACATACATTCTATGACAACCCTGTATATTTGTTCAAGTTTCACAGGTAACCATTTGAATTGTGGCTTCAATTTTAGCCAGCCTTGTGAATCTAGAAAAGGTAAATGGAATCAATGTGTTTATTTCCGTAATAAAATATTAAGACTTGAGTTCCACCAAAAAGGTCAGGAAGAGTATCCCAAGGTGTGAGTTAGTATCTCTGATAAGACATGCTTGGGTGTCTATTCAAAAAAGGCCAGCCCCGTAGAAAGAGTAGTCCCAAAGTCTAATATACTAGTATAAGCTTACATCTTTATATTTGATTAGTAAGTAGGTGTACCTATGTGCTAAACTAGTTGAAAATATTAACTCTTCATGTAAATACTTTAAGTGGGTACAAGGAACTGTTCTCATTCATATGAAGCGTCTTATCTTTCTATGACGAGTTAGCTTCTGTTGTTGGCAGTTCTTCCCAGTACATCAAAGTCTGGCATTGTTTTTGGTGTTGTTATTGGACTTATTGTTCTTGTGGGAGGCTTTCTACTATTTTGCATGAGGGTCCGACATAAAGGCTACAAGCGGGATAACTTTGAAGATGTTGCAGGTTGGTTTCAAGTCTATTTACTCCTTTTAATAGGGTCAATATGCATAACACAGTTTCTTTCTCTGCCAAATCCTTTTATTCTTTACTTTTGAGGAGATTTGATATATATGCTGCACTATAAGCATTAATGATTGTTCACTATATAAGCAATAATGTTTGTCACATATATGTTACTCCACCTCAGTATCCACATATAATTGGCCCTTGTTATATTCAGGAGATGTTGACCGACAAATTGAATTCGGTCAGTTAAGAAGATTTTTATGGACAGAGTTGCAAATTGCTACAGACAACTTTAGTGAAAAGAATGTACTTGGACAGGGAGGCTTTGGGAAAGTATACAAAGGAGTGCTCGCGGATCACACAAAGATTGCTGTTAAAAGGTTAACAAGCTACAACAGTCCTAGTGGAGATGCTGCTTTTTACCGTGAAGTTGAGATGATAAGTGTTGCAGTTCATCGGAATCTCTTAAGGCTCATTGGCTTTTGCACTACCGTAACAGAACGCCTTCTCGTTTACCCCTATATGCCGAATTTAAGTGTTGCCTCTCGTTTACGAGGTAATATCATTTTTTCATCATATTTTTTTGAACTTTTTAACAAGACCCTCTAGTTTTTTATCCATTATAGATTTGTAGAGTTTCTTACCTCTGAAAGAGTTAATGGTTAATATGCATGACCTGTTGAACTATGAAATTAGACTTAACTCACACCAAAAGTTAACATCGTTACGGGGTGAGATTTATCATACGTAGTAACTTGTATATTAGATCTAGTAAAAATTTGACCTGGGACATATTAAAATAAAATCATCTTGCTCCTTTAGGAGCAAATGTAGTGAGTGAATTTTGACAGGCTCTAATGAAATGGAGGTTATTCAAGTGTTATGCAGGCTAAACATAAATTTCAGTTTTTTATTTCTTGCCAACACTAATAATTATACGGAGTATTATTTTGGGTCTTTTTTTTACTGAAATAAATTTTAGAACTTCAACCTGGGGAGGCTGTTCTGGACTGGCCTACTAGAAAGCGTGTGGCATTGGGCACTGCGCGTGGACTTGAGTACTTACATGAGCATTGTAATCCGAAAATAATTCACCGTGATGTTAAGGCTGCAAATGTATTATTGGATGAAGAATTTGAAGCTGTTGTGGGTGATTTTGGGTTGGCAAAGATGGTAGATGTTGGAAAGACCAACGTGACAACTCAAGTATGTGGTACTATGGGACACATTGCTCCTGAGTACTTGCAATCTGGAAAATCATCAGAGAAAACTGATGTTTTTGGCTATGGAGTCATGCTTCTTGAGCTCGTTACAGGTCAACGTGTCATTGACTTCTCTCGCCATGATGGAGATGATGTATTATTGGTTGATCTAGTAAGTTAGCATTCTTATTAATTTTTTTATTTTTATTATCACATACATGGCATGATTTATTGAAAAAAGCTGGAAAATTAAAGATGCCGTTAATTTGTTTAAAATAGTCTTATTTTAGGTAAATTTGAAATATTTTGTATTTATGCGCAAAAAGGCTTAAATACTACTTTATATATTACTACTATTTTATAGAAGTTGGTGAAGTCTCTAAAGTGAGCTTGACAGAAACACAAAAATGCTACTCCACTTTATATATTTATTACTATTGATTTTTCATTCCTATACATATTCCTTATAGCAAGAACTGCCAAACCCATAGATTCGTCATTTGCAGGTGAAAAAATTGCAAAGAGAGAATAGACTACATGATATTGTAGATGGTAACCTAAGGAGAAATTACAACATAGAAGAAGTACACATGATTATTCAGGTTGCACTACTATGCACGCAAGCATCACCTGAAGAACGACCTGCGATGTCAAATGTTGTAAGAATGTTAGAAGGGGAGGGGCTTGCTGAGATGTGGAGAGAATGGCAACATGTCGAAGTGACTCGTATTCAAGATTATGACCGTTTACAAAGACGAATCGAGTGGAGTGAAGATTCAACCTATAAACAAAGTGCAATTGAGTTGTCTGGTGCAAGATAACGTTGTTTGTTTAATGTTCATTTGTTTGGTATTAGGCTGTGGTTAAATCTCATATTCTTAGTCTTGTATTTTGTTGTATATGGGTAATGTTAACATTGTTTGCTTAATGTTAGTTTGAAAACCACCAGAATGTCATGTCTAAGCAAAACAAAAACATACGGAGTAATAGAAATAAAAAACTGATACTGTCCGAGAATGAAAGTAAAAACAGAAAAGAAAAATGTGCAAGTCGCATTCGCATAGCATGTCTTCAAGTTTCCCTGTAAGCCTGTCATCTAGAGCTCACTCTAACAGTCTAACCCCATTTTCTCGGTCATCTGATTCCAGCTCTAGTAGTATCATGTGCGCTTTTGCTGCCGTCTCATCATCCACTCGATGTCGCTTATGTTCTGTCATCTGTACTCCTTCGTTCTGCTTTCCTAAGTCTCTAGATTGACCGAAGAAGACGAATACGAGGTCGCACCAGAGAACAATTAAAAGTACGACAACAATAGTGAAGAAATAATTCAATAAGTTAAGATGTGGTTTATCTTCTTGTCATCACAATGTTGAGCCCAAACTACGAACAGTAAAGAGCAGTCCAAACTTGGGACAAAAATTTTATGGCCACCCCTTTTATGAATATTGACTTTATTCGTGTTTAGCCTATTATTCTGCATTTTTTGAGAGATTAATTCAAAAAAACTTGAGTATTGACTATTCAAATGTATTTAGTAGGACATTGACTTGTGATGGAGTATACTCTCATATACCCTAGGGGTATCAATCATTTATGGATAAACAATCTCCTGAAATTACTAAAAACAAAGCTACCATCGAGGTCGAGGCCGAGTAGTCGAAGTCGGTATTTACACCCGAGCCTGTGTCCTTCGAGCTCGATCCCAAAGTCAACCCTCAGATTATCGAGATAAGTCTGAAACTGTAGTCGAGCCTGAGCTCCCCACTTGTTGGGGTTAACGCCAAAATCAACACTATGACTAAACTTAGAGTCAACTGAGCATTCCACGAAGTCATAGGACTAAGAGAGCATTAACTGAGGAATCTGAGGCCACCCCCTCCACAAGTGAATACATTATCCCTCACCTCAAATACTTTAGAGCCCGGGGACTCGCATAAGATTATGGACTTTGCTAATTTTAGTATCCAAGTTCCACATGACTAAACTAAGGTCACCCCCCGCTTTGTTATTGTACTGCCCCCGAGCTCCACGCCACGGAGCCTGTGGCATATGAGAACATTGTGGACTTAGTTGTTAATACTCAAGACCTGCTATAATAATTGAGATAACATGATTGACATAACAGTTGTCTAGGGCTGATGTCACCCTAGTAGTTACACACAGAAGGTTCTAGGCATACATGTGTTGCTCCTTTGCGCAATCAAGTACGGAGGGAATCAAATTAGTTAGCATTGTACCAATCAACCAGTTGTCTTCATTCTCTTGCCAATCAAGCTTCACATGTGTCTCCTTGTTATTAGACTAACATATTTTACTTGATGGCCAAGTATTACATGTGTTTCCACCAAATTAGAATAATACCTTTTTTACTTGAGCACCAAGTATTTCCTTTACAGTATAAATATCACCTTAGCTTCCAACATATCGAAAGGGAACTGATTTTCTCCGCGCACATTTGTTGTTACTCTGCCAAAATTTCTACTCACTTAAATTTAGCACTTTTCAGTCTCCCCTATTCAGATTCTGCCTACCCCAGGGTCAGATTTATATCAGCTTGATTTAGTGTTGTGAAATTGTAGATTCGCCGTCAGAGCCATCAACATTATTTATCCCCTACTTGTTTCCTCTCTAAAAAATCAGCCATTTATTGGCTCCACCATGGCTGAACCATGGTACAAGAACATGGGGGCAAAACCTATTTTGTATGGCCAATAATATCTAAAATCTATCCATGAACAGTCTTCATTCACTTTCTGAACCTTCACATTCTTTTTGAGAGAATTTCCTATATCCAGGCAAACACGAATTCTCAAATAAGCCCTCCAACGTCCATCAAACTGATTTTCATCTAACTTAATGAAACTTCCTATATCATTTCAAATAATTTTTGCCACCTCTACTGTTAGTAACCCACAGGCAAATTATGCACTTGAATTCAGAATTTCAAAAAATATAATGGGACTTTCAATGGCAAATCATCCACTGTTAGTTCAAGTAATATCACAAGTTTTTTATCATATAACCAAGTACCATATTCAAGAATCCGTCTCATATCAGTTTCATGATAGAAAGAGAAAATGTACCTCTTATGACCGATATCTTTAATCAATGCCCCTCTACTAGCTTTCCAAATAGAGGTTAGAACTTCTCTGAATATCGTAAATGTTACTTTCTTCTCGGTTTCGATTGGACATTTTCCCTTATTATTATTATTATTATTACTATTATCATCATCATCATCATCATCATCATCATCATCATCATTATTATCATCATCGTCGTCGTCATCGTCATCATCATTATTATTATCATTATTGTAATGAATCAATTATTATTATTATCATCATCACTATAATTATAATTAAAAATGTAAATGTGATTAGAATTTTATTTGTAATTATAACTATAACAATTATAGCTATAGTTATGATATTGATATTGATATTGATAATAATAATAATAATAATAATAATAATAATAATAATAACTAAAATAGTAATAGTTATAGTAGTAATAACAATAATAGTAATTATTGTTATAGATATGCAAAAGGATTATTAGCTAAATATATCCCTAACTATCATGAAATTCACAAATTTATCCCATACTTTCACTTTCATTTAAAAAAGACTCAAACATGAACGTTTCTCACAATTACACTTTCAATGGATGAATTAATTAAAATCAAGAAGAAAATTATATTTATATTTCATATTTTTTCACTTCTTTTTAGTTTTAAGTTTACAAAATTGTATTGCTTATATCTTATTGGTATTGGAAAAATGTTTAATTTTGTAAAAAAAAAACAAAAAAGAAAAGCGTAATTGTTGAAAAACATGAAGTTTGAGTCTTTTTTGATAAAAATGAAAGTGTATGATAGATTTGTGAATTTGATAATAGTTTGGGATAAAATAAGCTAATAATCATATGCAAAAATACTCTAACAAAAGCTAAAAAAGAAATCCAACATTTCAAGTGACCTAGACACTAAAGTTACTCCAACAACACTTTTAGAGGATGATTGTTTCACAATAGTCACTTGCAAGTATTCAAGAACAAACCGAGACGACAATGAGTAATATCCAAACGTGTCTTCAAACCAAGCTTACAAGATAAAAAATACTTTCTCTAAATTGTTGATTTCCTTAATTGTTGTACTTTCATTGCTTTTTCTTTCCTGTTATCTCTATTCGACTTATTAAAATTAGCTAAATGACTTCCAGCTCACAATTTTTGTGATTTGTCCGTGGGGATGGGGATAGTAAAAAACAAAACAAAAAAAATAAAAGAGCTCCTAAACCATGTGCCAGTGCTACTCCATATCGTTTACCCGTCTCTGTAACAAAATTTGTTCTTAAATGAGTAATTTTAAATTTAAGGGCTGAATTTCAAAATCAAATTTGGTCAAAACAATTGCGAATAAATTATGGATAGGGAAATAGAGGTCAGCTGGAAAATTGGTAGGCGGGCCCGCAGTTACATTCTTTTTTATTTTGGCCAACAAGTCGCTCTCACGGTGGGAAAACGTGGGGGCCAAACTCCAGTCCACGACCGCCACCATTAGACTTGAGGGGAAGCTCTTCTGCATTTTTCTGTAATAATGGCAGAGATAGAAAGCTTCGTTTATTGAGATAGCGATTACGGAGTAACAAATATACCTTATTGACGGCGGATCAGTTAAACGAGCAAAGAGGCTTCCTTTTTCTGGTTTTCTTTCACTCCCACTTTCTTACTTAAGGTACTGTTTCATCTTTATAATTCAATTCTTTGTTCTGTAATTACCTAAAGTAGTCTGGCTACTCGGTAGATGATCTTATAAGTATTCAAGGTCTGAGCTGAAAAAGTGTTCCTGATTCGACCGGATGTAGATATAGAGATTTGATTTTCTTGAAATGGGTAATTATGGAACGGGCTGAGAGCTGAGCTGATTGCAGTTGCTGGGGGTTTTATTTGCAGTTGTATTTGGTTGAAACATTAGCTTTATGTCTGTGTATCAGCCCCTGTGTATGACTTTTGTATGTAAAAAACTATCTTAATGCGGTATTTAAAGGTTAAATTACCTGGAGAAGTTTTGCATTTGGTGGTTAATAGTCTATTCTAGTGGTAGCTCATTGAGTGTGTGTCATATGTTTGCAGTTCGCTTTGTTTCATGGGCTTTGGAAGATGATATCATATGCTGCATCAATTACTGGAAATTAGTGTTGATAAAGAATGAAAGGATCTTCTTCAGAAATGGGAATGATACTGTTCTATGCAGTACTACTCTTGGCATGCTTTTGCTCTTTGGTTTCACCTGATGCTCAAGGTACCCTGCTATTTTGATCTAACTTGCAAGTTCTTGTAGTATTATAATGGACTTCTGGAGTATTACCCACCTATGTCTGTCTCTGCACCTTTCACAAGAAATCCAGTCAATTATATATTATCTGTTTGATTCTCACTGATTATATTGATTTCAACTTATCTCATACTTATCAAATAGAATTATAAACATCACATATAAAGTCATGTACCGCTCCCTGTTGATAGTCTCAATATGGTATCAGACCCATTGGTCCTACAAGTTTGAGCAAAGGATTCCTATGATTCATAAGGAACATACGAATCTGTTAGGATGAAATGCAAGTCTCAATAATTGCATTCGATTTGCTATATTAGTTGTATTTATTAACACTAAGAATAAAATTTAAAGTGCCGTTTGGCAAACATTTTGGGGCTTTCGTGGAGGCTCTTAGGGGTGTGCACGGGTCGGGTTCGGGCGGGTCGGGTTTGCGAACCCTAAACCCTTTCGGGGTTTTTTAATTTAAATACTAGGCCCGACCCTTTGATATTTCAAATCGGGTATTTCGGATATTTTTAAGTCGGATATTATCGGATATCGGGTCGGGTTTCGGATATTTCGGTCATATTAAAAAAAATTATAATTGGATAATTAAAGTGTTTAAATGC